GAACATTTTGGAGTTACAGGTAAACTTCTGAGGTTGTTGGAAGGCTTTCTCACTGTACGTACCTTCCAAGTACAAAGTACGTGTGGATTCCTCAATTTCAAAGGAGCACAAAGTACACAGCGGTGTTCCTCAGGGTTCAGTCGTTGACCCGCTGCTGTTTATAACTTATATAAGTGATCTCTATCAAGAGCTTCACACGAATAATGCGACATTTGCTGATGATGGAAACCTATACACAAATCCGCTGCTACATCAGGTTGAATTATAAATGGACCTTAACAACATTAAAGCTAGGACACATAAGTGGGGGATGCCTCTGAATGATTACAAATGCACTGTCCTTCATATTGGTCAAAACAATCCCAATTTCAACTATTTCTTTGAACAAACGAGACTTAGCAGTCACTTTAACATATGGCCTGAAATGGGATACACATATCACACAAATCTCCAAAAAGGCTAATTCAATGATCTACCTTATTCAGACAGCCTTTAAAGACTTATCAAAGGAAATGATCTTGAAACTTTACAAGTCGTATGAAAGACTAAAGCTTGAATATGCCCAAACGATCTGGAATCCATACTACATTAAAGACATAGAACAGATTGAGAGAGTTCAAAGAAGAATAACCAGATTACCGCAGGAACTTAAAAATCTGTCCTATGAGGAACGGCTCCTGAGATTGAACCTCACAACTTTAAGAGACAGGAGAATCAGAGGTGATCTCATTGAAACACATAAAATACTCAACGGTCATTATGCCTGTAACCTGGGAGACATCTACTTCCACCCAAGCCACAACATAAAGCTGAGATGACACGATCAAAAGCTTTCTAAAGAAAGATGCAACAAGCTCCTGAGGAGGAATTTCCTTAAGAATAGAGTTGTTTACAATTGGAACCGCCTGAGCGCTGAGACCATAAACTCTACCTCCAAAAATCAGTTTAAGAATCGAGAATCGCCTCGACCAGGAAATGACAATTTGGGCCATAACCTCCTTTGTGCACTACTGTCTATAGACCATACAATCAAAACTAAGAATGCGATAGCTGTCTAAACAAATACGGCAGTCTCATCGGTTTTTCTTTAAACCGCCTACTGCTGTTAACAATAATAATAATAATAATAATAATAATAATAATAAATGTTAAGTATAGAAACCTGCCATGCTATTGCCAGAGAAGGACTGGAGAGTTATCTGGAATTGAAACAAAAATCAAACAGATATCTCGGCATTATAGTATATAGACAAAAGCACAAACAACTGAAAAAAGATTCCCAAACAATAATGAACGGCACCAACACGCCGAAATGTGAGACGGAGAGAGTAAAATCTATCAAGAAGCATATAAAAGACGGCAAGAGACGAGAGCAAATGTCAAGGTGGAAAACAAAAGCAATGCATGGTCAAATAGCTAGAGAGATCGAAAAAGAACCAATCAGTAGGTATCAATCATGGAGATGGATAACCCATGGAAGCCTAAAAGCTGAAACAGAGGCACTAATAACAGCCTGCCAGGAGCAAGCACTTGCAACAAATTACATGAAGGTTAATATAATGAAATCCGGTGGAGACCCAAAGTGTAGACTTTGCCGGGCGTATGATGAGACCATTCATCGTGTTGTTGCCGGATGCCCAGTACTGGCAAAAAAAGTTTACCTTGATCGCCATAATACAGTGGCGGCACAGCTCCATTGGAACATCTGCAGGGAGTATAACATCAAAGTGAATGACAAATGGTTCCAGCATATCCCGGACGCAGTATTCGACACCCCGGAAGTAACAATCATCTGGGACACACAAGTGCAAACAGATAGACACATTAAAGCAAATAAACCAGACATTATATTGAGGGACAAAAGGTAGAAAAACATGCCTCTTAATAGACGTGGCCGTGCCATCAGATCACACAGAAAGAAGCTGAGAAGCGCTTGAAATATAAAGACCTACAAATAGAGGTCCAAAGAATGTGGCACGTCAAAACAAAAATTATACCAATAATAATAGGAGCCACAGGACTTGTATCCACTGCTACCTGTGATGCAATAAAAAAAGTGCCCGGAAAGCATAACCTGCTACTAATGCAGAGATCAGTAGTGTTGAGTACAGCGCATATAGTACGAAAAGTCCTATAATTTTTATCTAGCGATCGCCTGAAAAGTGAAAACCCTAGGTGCTCGGTGAGCACCCGGAGTTCCTTGAGATAATTTAACCATAGCCAAAGAATTGCTATGTGATACTATGGAGTAAATAATAATAATAATAATAATATCTAATAATAATCTTGAATGACAGAATTATAGGCGGCCTGCGGCCGCCCCTAGTTTTGGCCGCCCGCGTGTGGGGCACGCGCTGCACACCTGCTAGGATCGGCCCTGGGAGGAGCTCTCGAACGATCCTAGAACTCTGGGGAAAGTTCCTGAGACTCTTTCCAGAAAGATGGTAGCGGTATTGTCGGTCCTACACAAAAAGCAAGGAACTCGGCGAACGATTTCAGTATATCTGGCTGAAAGTTCGCTGAGCCCAGCTTTCTGGGGAAAGGCGATACTTCGAACCGCGACTCGTCCGGTTAAACGAGGACCCGGGCACGGCCGGGGGGTTAAAGGTATAACCTGAGTAATACTCATAGTTTCACTAGTTGGCATGAGCGAAGGACCCCTAAATGTCTGCCCTATCCCAGGTATCTGGACAATGGATGACTGGGGTGTTCCGAAAGCTAGTAGGGGGAAACCCCGATCCCAGACCTTGTCAAGGGAAAAGGAACTCACCTAGTGAGCCCTTTTAACACAAGAAACTACGGCGCTGAGTCAACCACATTCCGGTGCCGGTAAAAATGCTCGCCGCTGTGCTGATTCCAGAGTTCGTGGACTGTGGCTAAAAGGAACAAGCGTGTATTAACCTAGATGTGGTAGCTTCCATGAAAATGGGAGCGAACGGTGACTCGTCAAACGTTGCTGGGGAACCTGGCTAACACGAGTACCCAGGGGAAAGGCTTGCCCAGCCAAGTCCAAAAACTTGGCGCTTTTCGCAGGTGTTGGACTCTGGGGGGCAGTTACGGCTAGCTTGATAGTTGGTGGGCAACAGGAAGTGTGAAAGCCGAAAGGTAGGACGCAAGGACTCATTGTCGAATGTCCTGCATACCAAATTTATGAAGGTGTTTTGGTATGACAATGTGCCGTTCTCATTCTGCAAAAAACACTAGCTTTCTGTCCATCTATTTTCTCTATCTAGTGGTTCTTTCACTAATTTGTGATACTGGTTTCAATGATTTCTGCCCTTATTGGAATATTCCACAGCCCATTCCCTCCATGTTTCTTCCTTAGTTATTCTGGCCAGATCCTCATAGTGTATTGTTTTATTTATCTTAAAGACGGTAGCCCTTCCTGCAAGGTTATCTGCCTCGTCATTTCCTACTGTTATGCCTGAGTGACTAGTGTGACCCATATCATTTTAATTTCCACAGCCCCATCCTACATTTCTAGAATTTTTTTCCTAGTTCTTAACGTGCTTCTATCTGAAGCTATATGAATACCAGCTCTGACTCGATGGCACTCTCGGAATCCGATATCAGGACAACCTTTCTTTTATCATTCTCCAAGGTATTCAAGGCTGCATAGATGGCCATCACCTCTGCTGAGCAAATATTAGTTGATTCTTGACATTTTCCTATTATTGAAAATGTGAGGCAGCCTACAGCCAGGTTACCAGTGCAGACGCCTGTGAGCCACCTGGGTGACTAGAGTGTCCGACAGAGGGCAATAGCCCGTTTGGCTTAACTGTTGGGATTGGGTCCTGGAAGGGACCAATAGTCCGTAATGAGCAGCGAGCGCGAGAGGAGCCCTTGACGAAGAACATCGTGCCCAGATCGTGAAACGCCACCTTAGAATCCACCGTCCTGAAAATCTAAGCGTGTCAAATTATCGAAATAAGATGATAGTAAAATTGAGTCCTGTTTAATTCCCAGTTACCACAGAAAATTTATTTGTGTTATTGAAAACTCCAATTCCGCACTGTGCTGTTATAGGGTCCAAAAATGCATATATCTAGATATGTTGATAATCGTTAACCATCTTTCTTTTTTTTATCTTTAGGATACGTCTTGTCCTGGCAGCAAGTTGCTTATATTTCAAAAAATTGTCCAAAGTCATGCTCCTTAGGTAATTTCCCATAGCCTCTTGTTACAGTCTTCATCCCACCAATTTGGCTTCGGAGTATATTTATTTTTACTTGATCCTAAAACTCTTGGGTTAGTTTCCCCAGCAGAGTTATCTATTTTGTCTATGAATGCTTGATAATTCTCAATTTCTTCCCCACCCTTGTAAAACGCCGTGTCATATTTTTTCCAGTCAGCTTTATCAGTTCTCCATTTCCTTCTGTGCTTTTGATCTAGCAGCTGTTTTCTGATTTTTCATATGGTAGGCAAATGATCATTTAAGTCCGATCTGGTTGTAGACCGACCAGTTTCAAAATGTTTCAAGATCCTGGGGTTACCATTGTTATGTCTGGGCAACTTCTGTTTTGGTTCGGTGGTGTTATTCTTGTGCTCTTGCCGTCATTTAATATTATTAGATTGTTATCCTCAATGTATTCCATTAAGTGTCTACCATTGTAGTTGTTAATCTGCGAACCTCATAGGTTGTGTTGGGCATTTATGTCTCCCATAATAATAAATGGAGCTTGTATCTCTCCAAAAGCGTTATGGAGGTTGTTTATAGAAAGTGAGACGTCTGGTGGGCTATAAACATTATTACGTTCAAGAAAAAAAAAAGAGTGTAATCTGAATCAAGTAACGCATGTGAAGTAAGTCTTAGCACCCGATTCCCGATTCGTAGCCATTTTTCAGGCAAGACGCATTTCCACCAACAGTCTTTGATAAACGATATTTATCTAACAAATGCGGAAAGTGATACTTTACCGTACACAACGGCAGCTTCAAGTTATCAAGCCATTACAAGCCAATAATAAGAAATAAAAAAACAAACAGGAAATATTAGATATGTTTTCTCAACACAATACAAGCTGTGTTAGGATTGTATCAAAAATAAACCAAACATCTCTAAACCTAAAAAAGTCTCTAGCAAAAACCATTTATTTCAAAAATCCAACATTTTCATTAGTAACTGAAATATTGGCTAAAGTTTCCATTAACGCCTCATTCAATCTGTTGGCAATTTTACAGCCAAAATCCAAAAACTGGAACAAAGTGTCTTGGTGCAAAGACCCGCTACCCAACAACGAAATCGTGCTGACACAATTTTTTGTAGCCGCTACAACCATTGAACCTACAGTGCATTGTTCCTCTGACAGGCTTGGATCTACAATGCAATGTTGGCCTATTTTGCACAAAGTCACCAAAACCGGGGCGTTTTCTATGTTGATTTTTTCACAATCTGATACACTATCTGAGACTTCGATTTCTATATTATCTCCGTCGATGTTTACGGCCTTAATTTTGGGTATTTGGGTGTTGTGTAAGGCTGCTTTGATTGCCAAAGATGTAGCATCGAAAAGATTACCGCCACATTCTAAAATCTTTTGGATAATTTTGTTAATAGAAATAAGTGAAACAAATACCTTTACTCACCAAAATATCTACATACAACTTCCAGCATTTTTTGCCCTTCAAAATACACATTTTTCTTAAATCAAAGGCCTGTCTGGACTGGTAGGCTGATGCTAAAGTATTGGCAAGTTCCACAGCTAAATCTTCACCACCGCGGCCTTCAAAATCCGGTGTAGCATTAGCCGAACAATCCACAAAAAACTCCAATTTGCCTTCGTGTGGTGTTTCAGGAAAGGGGGCGTCGATTTCTAATTTGACCGCTACAAGTACATCGGTGTTGGCGAGACGTAAATGAGCCGAACCGAAAGCGTGCTGGACTGTTCCAGTTTCAAGTTCCATTGGTCTGTAGGCTTCGCGGTCTCTACCATCTTGACGGAAGTTTTCCTAAAATTTCGTTTTATTAAAGTCAAACTTTTCAACGCATTTTGCATTTATGTCTTTATTTTCGATATTTTACATGTAAACTTAGCCTACTACAATCATAATCCTAAATTCTAATGTGCGCCAAAAAGGCACAGCCGATGTTGTGGCCCGAACTTAGAGAAATATAATAGGGGTAGCAGTGGCGATCAATTCGGCATGACTCTGATGATGGTATTTGTACCAGCAAGTCGATGCACTTCAACTTTTCGAGTGTCCATTGGCAAGGAAAACGCGTTTTTTAGAATTTTATTTTGGAGCTTTTTCTTCTCGCTGTTGGATATAAAGCTCCAAGCAGGTGCTCCGTAAAGTAAAGTTGGACGTATTATCGTCTTGTAGATGCTGATTTTATTTTTAGGGCTCAGAAAAGAATTGGTCTTCATGATGGGGGACAGAAGACGCTCGGCGATCTGTGCCTTTCTAAGGGTATGTGCTACCTGGGGGGTGACCTTTGAGGGTTTTGTCAAGGACTATTCCCAGGTATTGGCAGTGGTTTTGGGTTCAATTATAACGTTGTTTATCGTCAGAGGAGGGTTCGTGATAATGTTTGTACGCTTCCTGGTAATCGTAAGAAGTTCTGTTTTAGGGGTGTTGAGGGTGATTTTCCAGGTCTGAAGGTAGGGAGTTAAGAGGTAGATGTGTCGTTCCAGCGCCCTTCTCGCGTCTTCTGCTAGATTGGCACTAGTGTAGATTGCAGTATCGTCGGGATACATCATGGCTTTAGTGTCATTGGTTTTGGGTATGTCAGCGATATACAAGTTAAACAGGATTGGGAAGAGGAAGGTGCCCTGGGTCCTTATTCTTGAAACAGGGGAGCAGCGTTCCCAGGAGAACGAGTGTTTTGTCTTTGTTCCTTATATTGTCATTTGCATATCATTAAGAAAGACGGAACACTCGTTCTCCTGGGAACGCCAGCCCGAATCGGTTTGTTTAGGGATAGAGAGTTTTGGAATTTGATGTTGAAAGTTCTGTGCAAAGTAAGGTAAGAGGCAATGAGAGAAATTAGGTGGGGGGGTAAGTTGTGTACAGTCAGAAGTTTGTAAAGAAGGCCCTTGTGCCTTACTTTGTCAAAGGCCTTCTTTATGTCGAGTAGCAGTAGGAAGGTGCTTTCTCGGTTGTTAAATGCGAGTGAGGCATTTTGTGCCACCCTCGCTACTGCTAAAGTCGTGTTGTGCTGAGGGCGGAATCCGTATTGTTCGTTGGGGAGGCAGTTATTGATGCGGAGAGTCTTCGCGAGATGATTTTTTCAGCTAAGGAATTTAACAAAGAAATTGGTCTGAAGGACTGTGGTTGTGATAAGTCTTTGCCGGGTTTCGGGAAGACTATTATCCTCGCCTGCTTCCAGGGTTGCGAGAAATGTTGGAGTGTCATGACTGCATTGATGATTTGCAGGAGATGCATAATAGCCTTTCGAGGGAGGTTCTTGATCAGTTGGTTTGTGATAATATCAGGTCCGGGTCCTTTTCTGTTTTTAAGTCTTCTCAGTTCGTTAGGCGTGGCCAGCAACCGCTGGTGAACTCCTGGGGGGATAGGGTATTTGCGCACGACAAAGGCGTCGGCTGTGTTGCTGATGTCTGTGTGAGTTCTTGTTGCGTCGGGTGTTTCGCTGTACACCCTAGCGAAGTAGTCAGCGAATATGTTCGCTTTGTCCTGTTCCCTGTAGAAGCTGACGCCATCGACTACCAGGTCTGACTGTGTCGTGCCTGATTATCGAATATTTCTGGCCAGCTTCCACAGGGAGTTGTCTTGGGTCTCCAGAAAGTAGATATACCTCATTCAGTTTGTGTTCCTGTGATGACGTACTCCCCTCTCTATTTACCGGCTGAGTAATTGTTTGTTTAGTATGTTTGGGTGCCTTTGCCATGCACGCTTCTCCTCTCCTTTATGAGTGCAACAACAGAGTCTGGTATTCTGTCCGTTCTTGGCTTGGGGGTGATTTTTGGAGCTAGCTGATCTCTGATTTGCGTAATTAGTGCTACTTGCTGCTCAAGTTCGGGTATGGTGGTTATGGGGTTGGTGATTGTTGTGGTATTGTTCAAAAGTTGTTTGTAGAGTGTCCAGTTGAAGTTTTTGTAGCTGTGTATTTTTTGCGGTTCCTGCACTGGAGGGTTTTTCCAGTACAGGAAGAGCGGTATGTGGTTTGAGTTTAGAATGTTTTTAGTCTTAATAGTCAAGTCTCTGAAGCTCCTCGAGAGAGCGATGTCTATCGTGGAGGGGTTCAGTCCGTTAAGCGGATAGTGCGTAGGGTTATTTGAGTAGTGTACTGATATGTCAAAAACTTGAAAAGTATTCTACCTGTCCTGTTGTTCGTGTGGTTAAGCCATGTTGTGTGCCTGGCATCAAAGTCCCCGATAAGTAGTGCTCTCCCATTTCTGGGAAAGAAGACCTTAATGTCGTGCGCGGTTCTTATCGCTTCTGGGGGGCCTGGCCCCCCGAGATCCACAAACCGTTATCTATCTCCAGTGTTATGTGCTCTATGCTGGTATTTAGGGTTGTGAATTGTGATCCGTTTATAGCTAACTGATTTGTGGATCAGGCAGGCCACGCCTCCGCCTCTGCGATTTCTGTCCATTCGTTCTGTGTTATACTTTTTGTGCTTCAAGCCTAGTACTCATAACTGCGAAATTCGCATTTTTTTGAGAAAAATTAGTTTGGGACTGTAATGGTTCACGGTCTGATAAAGGTCTCCCCTCTTTAAGTTGAGACCATTACAATTCCAACTAAGTATGAGCCACATTTAAAAGTCCAAACTCTGAATTTCAGTGGTGAAAAATTGCATGGTGACTTGCAATATTTACGATAGATTTGGCAACATAGCGTTGCTGAATGTTGTCCAATTCTAACTTTACTGTATACGTCGATTGAGGAAGTAGGGGAAGATGCTTCACCTTATGGAGAATAAAAAGACCAATAAATGTTTTCGTCGTTAGGAGCGCTCACGTCATCCATCTCTTTTCCTAAACATGAACTAAATGTTTGAAATGTCAAAAAGATTTTTGTAAATGCATGTCTGGTATGTAAATGCGAAACGGCAACACTGCAGCACTTGTAGCACACTCGGTGAACTCCGAACGCGTTCGAAACGATAAGACCCAGTTCGTTTTAGCTCTCAGAGTGTTCTCTTTTGCGTTCGGGTTACAATCGAGCCCGTACCCTGAGTTCGCTCTCTTTTCCCTGGGATGGATGGATGGATGGATGGAAAACCAGAGAATTTAGTTGTCACTTTTGAAAAATTATAACCTAAAATATTTAAAAAAAAAATTAATTCGATTTGCGTTGCGTTTCCGTTTTTTTTCCCCGATTTTTTAACTTTTATTTTAGGTCCATTACTAATTTACCTACTCGTTTATTAGTAAAACAAAATTAATATCGAAGCAAAAGCAAAAAAAGCAAATTTTTTTTGAGATTATTGACAACTGTGACAAGGGTTTTAGGATTTTTTTTTCTTCGATTTGCGTTCGGTTTATGACCTTGCTCCAGGGCGCACTTTGCTGCAAGCTTAGGTACAAACCGACATAGCAACATAGACAATTTTTCGCTAGTATAATGATATAATCAAGCATACTCGAGTATGCTGGGTTATGTGATGTGTTAATTGTGTCATACTCCCCCACCATCAAATTCTGGGACAATCGAGGATCAAGAACACTTAATTTTTTCTGCGAGAACAGACCAAAAATCACCTTTTCTACATTTGAAATTGACGAAAAAATTAACTGACTAGCACAGCTTGAATCGCAAGCATTCCATCGAGGTCTGCGGGTGACGTCATCATTCCTTGCCTTCGGTATTGTGCTCAAAAAGTAGAGCGTGCTGAGCGGAGCCATAATCACGTGACCAGCGAGCAAAAAGAGCAGTTGAACGCTGTATCAGAGTGCCCGAAATTTCAATAAACGAACGCGAATGAGCCTGCACCGAATACACTTTTTAAATAAACGAACGGTAAATTCAAGCTCGGAGAACTCAGATCAAAATACCGAACGCACCATGGGCGTCGTTTGGGGGGGGCACTTGCCCCCCCCTAGAAATAGTCTTTTAAACAAGAAAGCAGTAAAAGAGAGTTCGTATTCGTATTGCTTTTTTCCATTTTTTCAAAATTTGTTAGGTACTTTGAAAAATTGGCTGACATTTTCATTACATTCAATGGAATTGAATTTCACTTGACTTAGGGCCGGTATTATAAAACACTGAACCGATGGTATCTAGTGTTCCAACCTTCGGTTGAATCCTATCAATTTGCATGGAGTCAACCCAAGGTTGAAACTCAATCATCGATTCAGTGTTTTATAATACCGGCCATTAGAAAATTACCTAAACAAATGCAGTGGCGACGCCAGGGTTCTATGTTAGGGGGGGGGGGGGGGGGAGCAGACTGGGCCATAAAAATTTAGGGGGGCATTTGTTTTTATTTTACTGCTTTTCTTCTTTGGAATAAAAAATGGGAAGAACCTGTCGACACTATTATGTTTGATGTAATCCCAGGAAACCGGAAGCAGCACCGCAGTTGCCTGTGCCTAAGAACACTCAACCTAATAGGACTGCTTCTTAGCTGAAAATGTCTGCCATCTCAGCCGAACACCTCAACACTTGGCGTAAAATGCATTAGCCGAGTTTAAAACAGTCACAGGTCACAGTAATCGTTGCAATCTTGTTAAAATCACCTTTTCTACATTTAAAATTGACGAAAAAACAAGCACAACCTGAATCGCAAGCATCCCATCGAGGCCTGCGGGTAACGTCATCATTATAAGCTGTTATGCTGCTAATTAGTAGTGACGTCACTCGCAGGCCCTGCCGACTCGAGAGTTGACGAACGTACGCCTTACCGTGCGTTCGTTATTTTGGTCTGAGTTCTCCGAGCTTGACTTTACCGTTCGTTTATTTAAAACGTGTACTCGGTGCAGCCTCATTCGCGTTCGTTAATTAAAATTTCCGGTACTTTTACACAGCGTTCAACTGCTCCGTTCGCTCGCTGGTCACGTGATTACGGCTCCGCTCAGCTCGCTCTACACTTTGAGCAAAATACCGAACGCAAGGTTATGAGGATGAGAATTCCTGTTACTGTTTACGATTCTTGGCCTGTGCTCACCGAATACCGAATTAACCGATAGAGGCTGCTGATGTTATATTGCATTGTTGCCGACATGAGAGCAAGTTTTCAGGGGGGGGCGGCTAAATTTCAGTGGCGGCCCCGGCCTCCTCTGGCTCCCCCTGGCGTCGCCACTGAACAAATGATGCGGACAGTGAATTTGTCATCAACTAAGTACCTTAAAATGCTCAAAAAAGGGCGTGGCACTAAAAAAATTAGCCTACGGCGGTTGTCTGCGGCGCAAGTGGAAATCGTCTTATTATAATACTGCCCCCCCTGAGAAATCTCGTAACGACGCCCATGGAACGCACGGATTATAAGCTACTGATAGTGACGTCACTCGCAGGCCCAGAATTTGATGGAGAGGGAGTAGGGAAGTATGACACATCACATAACTTCTATGCACATAACCCAGCATACTCGACTATACTTGATTATCCTCGCGAAAAATTGCCTAATAAACCGATATGTTAAAAGAAAAAATTGGTACGCTCCTAGGGTTTTCGACAAATTGAAAATTATTTTTTGATTCATTGCCTAATTTCCCATAAAAAAGGTATCCCGAGTTTTTCTTGTTCTATGTTAAACGTCACGAGATAAAAAAAAATCAATGTATTGTTTGGAAAGTCTTGTTGTTGGATACACCACTCTGTTGAAAAAATAAGAGTCGCTCTAGGTCCGGTCCTGGAAAAGTGGAACTCAACCGTATTTTTTAGAAAGACGCTTGAAAAAATCGCAAACACTCTCTGAAAATTTGAACAAAATCGCTAAAGGCATTTTGAATCTAGGCAACAAGTCTAAACTTTTCCGAAAATCTCAACACCCTGTATTTTCTTAACGAGACGTTTGAGGACACATGTACCTATGCAAAGAGTGATTGTCCTATTGGTACTCTATCTATCATAACGAAATGTTCACTTATTTCGGACTCACCCTGGAGTGCGTTTTGAAATGGAGTGTGAAGGTAGAGTAGTTGTTTGTCAGAGTGATCTGACGTCATCACTTAGAGTGCACTCTGGGTGCGCCTTTTCTGAACGTGATTGGGGTGTTGCACTAAATGTCAACGTCAAACCCGGTAAAAACCTCGGGGCGTTTATCAACCCAGTCCCTGAATGGGCTAATTTGGGCCTTTGAATATAAAGCAACAGGAAGGAGCATAACCTGGAATCTGCGGGAACAGAATATGTGGAGGTTGCATATGGCCGACTAGTGTTTCCGGTTTGGCAGTGGCGTATATTTATTTAAATATGATTGTCAGTATTATGACTCACTCTTTTCGCACTAATCCCAGTGCTTATTATCACTTAAAACCGCTAAAATCCATTAAACATCCAATTGAATGAGGACACAGCGAACCACCAAAACAAATGATGAGTCAAGCTTCGAGGCTCAATATGAGCCGTTTTCCAGTATGCACATTGGCGCGCTCTGGCGCGCTCCAGAGCACCTCGGGGGCGCCACGCACTAGATTTGTACCGTTCCAGTATCATGACGTGACACGCCCGTCTTAGTGTCAAATATGTCAAATTTTAAAAATAATTATCTGTTTGTTTGTGCAGTTTGTTTTTTTATTTATCATAAATGAAAGAGAATCAAAACTATATTTTTTAAAATGTTCAATCTTGAGATATAACAAGAAATAAATAAATAAATAGCCACCCACGGATGTGACAGCTGACAGGTTGACGCGTACGTACAGCTCGGGGGCTCAACGCCCCGAGTAGCTCCGGGCGTCAAACTCCCATACTGGAAAGCGGCTATGGCCGCTTCCTTCCCTTTTTTGTTTGTAGTGACAGATAGACAACGCTCCTTCCTGTAGTTTTATATTCAAAGATTTGGGCACACTCTTGGCACGTCAACTCTCGATTTTTGAACGACTCCAGCGTAAAGCCTAGTACTCATAACTGCGAAATTCGCACTTTTTTGACATTTCTTTGACAATTTGACGTTTGATACACGCATAAAACATCAAAATGTCGACGCAATGTCAAAAAAATGCGAATTTCGCAGTTATGAGTACTAGGTTTAACGCTCCGAGTAAGCACCTCTTAATTTATAAACGGTTTAGAGTTACTCTACGGTCACTCTCACACCCAGAGTGCTATTTCTAAACGCAACCCTGATATATTTGTATTTATAATTTTTGACAAATTTGCACTCATGCGTTTTTAACTGAAAACGGCACCCGTGCACTAAAATGCATTCGGGCCAATTTCCCAAAAATTATCGATAATTTAATTTTCATTGCACTGGTTATATTATTACTATTGATAATTCTTGAATTGAATTGTCTTAATTTTTTTTTCAATTTGCCAAAATTCAAAACAAAAGTTAAATTGTAGGTATTTGTGTGTAGGTACCTAATAAATACACACAATAATAAAATCGATTAACTTTCCCCAGAAAGATGAGAAATTCCTTGAGACCCGGCAACGCTGTTTAACAACAGAGGTGCTTTCCAGTGACCCATTTGAGTTACTCCTGAGCAGCTCAGGAGTGCTCCACAATTGCTATACGCGTTCCAGTGCTTAGAGTGTCGTACACTTGAGCTACTCATTTCTGTTATCCCCTGCCCCCTCGTGCACCAACCCTTTTGTCTGTGTTTCATGCTCCTGAAATCCGAAATGGTGGGGGTTAAGACGAGAGCGTTCCAGTGCTGCTTATGTCGAACAGTTCAAGAGCGTCACACTTCAGGAGCATGATACTCTAACAATTTAGGCACTGGAAAGCGGCTAAGAACACGATTCTACATTTTGTTGTTTAAATATTTTGAGACCCCTCAATCCCTCTCATGCCCCCTCATTCGCCCATCGGTCGTTGTTTACACAAAATGCCATACATTTGTTGATGGCAGGTGGCAGCACCAATCAATGATGTGTTTTCTGACATCAACCGTCGCCGAAAAAAGACGGGAGATGGTAGCTGCATTCATTTGAGAAAGATGGGAATAATTTTTGTCGCAAGCCACGATTATTTCTATGGAGGTTAGGCATTTTCCTCTACTTCCTCAATCAAGGCTTCACTGTATAACAGATTGATGGCCGATGGGGACTGTAATTTTTAACGTTTAATTATAGATGGCGACACAATAACAAAGTAGTACTAGTTGTAGTACTAAGTGTAAAATGATTGTTATTTTCATTGCAAATAAAAAGATAAATTTAATACGTACTGAGTCTAGAGTTTGTCAACTTCTTGCCGCTTATATTATATACATTAGGATGTCATCAGCGTAAGAAGTTTCACTTAAAATATGCGTACATAGTGAAGACATGCTTTTTTTAAATACTTACATCAACTCCATGAAGAATGAAGGTCTTTTCTGCTTCAGATAGCGGCATAATATTATAAACAATTAATAAAATACACAATAATAATAATATATTGATGATACACTACACAAGCAACCATAACCTCACAAATTTCAAAGATTGCCGAAGTAAAATTCGTATCGATATGCACCTTCATCGTATCGATAATCCTCACTTTCAGTCTTTAGATGTCAAAATCAGCTGTTGTATTGTAATATAGGTGGGCGGGTTATTTTTATTTACTTATTAAAAATGCAAACAACTTATTAAAACACCAACATTAATCATGGACAAATTAACGCTAATATCAGGAACTTTATTCCTAACGGCAGACATTTTCGCCATATTCAGTTTAGCCAGGCCTGATTGGATAGTAACAGATGTCGGAGGTAATTTCCCTATAAAATAAAATAACTGTTGTTATTGAAAATTTAATTAGGTGAAACTCGTATGGGGTTGATGTGGACATGTATGACCCTCTACAATCGTCCCCAAGTCTGCTTCACCCCCTCCTTACAACCGGAATGGCTTTTGGCCCTAGTTTGCATTTTTGTCGGATGCATTTGCATTACTACAACCATAATTTTGCTTGTGTCTTCGCATTGGGACCGAAACGTCGTCCCTTATGCTAGATGGGTCGGATTTACTGCTAGTAAGAATCTCAAATTGTAGTAAAGTCTTAATTTAAGTGGATAATTTGTTGTAGTGGTGCTGTTTTGCCTGGCCGCAGTCATATTTCCGATGGGATTTAATGTGGACGGAATAGGAGGGCAACCGTATCAGTTGCCCAATAGCCACCAAGTGGGGATTTCTTATATTTTGTTTGTTGGGGCTTTGTGGATTACTGTAATCTCTGAATTGTTTGCAGGGAAAGTTTGCTTGCCCCATTTTTAATTTAGGTGTAATCTCTAAAAAGTATTGTTGTTGTATATCTGTAAAATAAATAGATTTTAGGACTGTCATTACTAAAGTCTGGTTTAAAAATCTTCATATAAACTGTCTACAAGATAAATTCATCAATCTACGGTCTATTTTTTCCCAAGATAGATTTTGACATTGAAAACTTTGTAACATAAACAATAACGCTTAGCCCTCATTGGTCGCAAAATTAGGTGTCCTTGTAGGTTGACATCAGTTTTACAATGCGGGTTGTGCAAATGGCATTTTGGGACCAATAGGCGGCATTAGCGGCATTGTTTATGTTTCAAAGTTCACAATGTTAAAATCTATCTTGGGAAAAAATAAACTGTATAATCCTATTGGTAGACTGGTAGACAAATAATTGGCTGACCAAACCAAAGTTTGCATTACCTGACAATTTAGGAAGTTGAATAAACCAAGCCTGAATCTAATGTATAATTTTTTAAAAATATGATTTGCTTTTTACTTTCCTTATTTTTTTATTCCACACGTTGTTTTTCAAAGAAAGAAAATATTCAATTCTTTGCCGAAACCGTGGGGAATTTAGAGAAATTTGTAGGGAATTCGTAGGAATTTATGGGAAATTGAAGAAATTAGAGGAATTTATTGGTTCTAACACCAAGCGTAATAAAAATAGGAAAATTCATTTCTTATCACAAACAATTTTGGGGATTTCCAGGGAATTTGTAACAGGCATTTATAGAGAATTTGCGAGCAGTTCGGAGGAATTTTTGGGGAATTTAGAGGAATTTGCAAGAAGTTTGAGGAATTGTGTGCACAGATTCAGGTGGGTGTTTTACTCCATAGCCCTTGCTCACCTTAGTAAAAATCAAAGTGAAGCTTAAACAACTGAAAACTATCAAAGTTGCATTGAAATTATTCACTAAGGGTTTGTAGAGGATTTTGTTAAGTATTAAATCTAATAAGAATGAATATTCATTCAAAACTTAAAAAGTACGCAAGCAGACCACTTATTGGATTCCAGAGATGAAATGAAGTGAAAAATGACATTGAATGACATCTTTTGAAAAAACGTTTTGAAAAGTAAGCATATACTTCAATTTATCTGTCATCAATCTGTAAAATATAATTCAGCCTCCAGCCCAGTAGTAGTAAGTCAAGTAGTTGTGGAAGGTTAAATATATAGTCTGTCGTTTTTAATCTGACACTTTCCGTATGAGGAGCGAGGGGGTGCTTTATATGGCAGAAACAGGTGTGACATCAGGTTATCATTGGCGTTCTAATATAGAGAGCCACCAGCTCACATTGTTCACATTCCTTTAGAGTATCAGATTAAAATCAATATATATACCATTTTCTAATTAGGCATTCCACCGATCTGTTAAAACTATTCCAAAATGGCGGCCGCTTGCTGCAGATTTTGGAGAAATCATGGAAACACCTTGATCCAGATAGACTTCAGGAAGCCATAGATTTCATCCTGAAAAAAGCAGACGTATTTGTGATGGATAATTAAACCGGACGGACCAGCTTAATTCAACACAAAATTGATACTGGATTGGCACACCCAATTAGACAACTACCACAACAGGAAGTGGAAAATCAAATTGATAAAATGCTTCAAGAAGGAATTATTGAAGAATGAAGAGCCAAATAGTCCATGGTGCATGGGCTGCGCCATTATTGGTTACAAAGAAAGATGGAAGTCTTGATTCTGCGTAGACTACCGTAAGCTTAATGACGTCACCAAAAAGGACAACTTTTCTCTTCCGAAGATAGACGATACATTAACAACTCTGTCGGGCTGCAAATGGTTTTCCACCTTGGATCTTAAAAGTGGATACTGGCAAGTGGCAATACACGAAGATGACAAAGAGAAAACTGCCGTCGGTACCGGAAGCGGGTTATACCCAGTGGCGTACCCAGTAGGGGGGCAGGGGGGGGGGGGGGGCGACGCCCCCCCCCCCACCCCTACAAGTATGGCGCCCCTACCGCTCTTAAAAAGCAAAAACAATAAATTATAAAATTATGCTGTTTCTTATTTATTTTATTGACCTCTTTATTCTTTAACGTAAGTTGGCTGTTGGCAAATGGTTCAGTTCAATCAAAGGAAACATAATAGTTTCTGTTTTGATGACTGATGTGGTTGAAAAAGGGAGTGACTACTGCACTGTCCAGACAGTGGTGACTGAAAACTATCTGCACTAACCAGACAGTGCCGACTAAAATCTATCTGCACAGTCAAGACAGTGCTGACTAAAAACCATCAGCACTGTCCAGATAATTTCATCATCATAACATCATATCATATAAAGTTCAAAATGGCTTGGCTTCCTTGCTGGGATTCAGTATGTTAATATGTCCTAGGTAGTTATTTTTGTATTGAGTTCGCAAAATGAGTGTTTTTTTAATGGTACCTGAGAGTGTCAATTTCCACAGGTCAGGTCTAGGCGAGGCCATATAGTTATTTTCCTAACCTAACAAGTGCTCAAAGTATTACTTTGAGCACGGAAATGCGTGCGGAAAAGTACTACTTTGTAGGAAGAATGTTGTCTGTATTTTGTATGCGACATTTGTGGTAATTGACAGCTCTGAATGAATTTTTGGCCTCGTCCTGACATGTGAAAATTGACACTCTTAGGTACTGGGTGTTTGTTTATAACTGGTACACTCGATAAACTTTCTTATTTTTGAAAATAAAGGGCATGTTCAACACGTAGTTGGCAAATTTCTTGGGAAATCGCAACCTTAAGCGATACAACGCCATTTTTTTTTGCTGTACAGGTATAGGTATACAGAGTGCGCCAAAAAGGTATTTATTTCAAATGGAACGCCCCATATATTTTTGTTATCCAAATAGTGTTTGATATTTTTGTGAAGTTAATTTTCTTAGAATTTTAAAAATGCAAAAATGTGCTTACAAAAAATTACTTTTTTGACGCACTCTGTATACCTATGGCGACAAAACAATATTGTTGTAGCGATTGAGATCGTCGCAATTTACCAAGAAGTTTTACAATTTAAACATGTCCTTTATTTTCAATAGTAAAAAAGTTACTGAGTGTTCCAGTCACTGGCGCCGACTACATGGGGGCATCGGGGCTGGTGCACCCATGAGCAACCTCTCATGGGGAATGCGGAAGTACAAACCACAAACGTGTTTAATGGCCATTCCAACGGTGGTTCAGCTGTAAGTACTTGATATTTGGCTTACTTTTTACTTACTTTTTGATTTTGTTTTTCTTCTTCTTGTACCTTTTTCTTTGACTGTACAGTGTATCCCATTTTGGAAGTACATAAGGGATATCTCAGAATCTCAGTTGCTATTGGAGTTAGAAGGATGCGGTTTTCGCTCGGGTTTTCGGGAACGTTAGCTACTCTTCTGTCAAATGAAAGATGCCGTTAACAAAATTGTACTCGCCTTTTCGTTCTTAAGATACAAGGCGTTTTCTAAAATATTGCATTTTGGGACATCCTTTGTAACTCCGCTCTCTCATAAGTGATCGAAAACGTGACAACGGGTTTCTATAGATATTTTTACGTAGATTCCAGAAGCATTGTCAGTTTTTCTCTAAAAGTGATAGTTTTTGAATTATGAATCAAACATACGTTATTTCACTTTGCTTTTGCTGATTTCAATTCAATCAAAATTCGATACCTTTATCTCTGACAGTTTTCGAGCAGAAAAAATGTATCTGTTTTTGTCATGAGAAACAGTGTTAGAAAGCAGAGCTGTTGTAAGTACCAAGCAAGAAAAAATACTTAAGTATCAAGTACAAGTTTCTTTTTCAAGACGAAGCAAGTACCAGTATAAGTACAGAAGGCAGGAAATACTTAAAATATCAAGTACCAGTATAAGTACAGAAGGCAGGAAATACTTAAAATATCAAGTAAATTGACTTGAATTGTTCAAATTCAAATACAAGTAGCAAATTCCACGAAAGTCAGAGTTAAGTTTAAGTATTTACTTAAACTTGCGTACTTGAAATGACATTTAATTACGTAGAAATACTTGAAAAAATTATTTAGGTATTTTTTATTTCAAGTATCATTCCAATTAAACTAGCAAATTAAATTATTGCTATCGATAATCTTAAAGGGGATGTGACCCAAAAATAAAAATTTTAGAAAAAAAAATCCAAGAACGAATTTTCAAGCCGCACTAGGTTTCGACCAACCGTTGCGAAGATACCGCCACTCCTAGCACTGCATGTGACGTCATATGCACAAACTGAGTCTGACAATATTAGCTGTGTTCCAACCGACATGAGAACCGTTCCAGAAGCAGCAATTTCCAGTTGCTCACCTAAGTTGAACGTTCATCCTACTTGACAAATGAATTGATCGACTGGAAACTACCGTTTTAGGACGTTTCTCATATCGGTTGGAACAGAGCTATTATGGACATTATCGTATTGTTTTTGCGTTCTCACACCTATTGCTGCGTCAGTGTGTTTATGACGTCACACGATGAATAAACAAAACTTTATTTAGTCGTCAAGTAAATTTTAAAGCATTTAAAAATACTTCAATTAAAAATATTTACTTCAAGTAATTTCACTGGTACTTAAGTAATTTAATATCACTTAAGTACAAATTTTCAAAACCTTTCAAGTAAAATATACTTGACTGATATTTTAAGTATAAAGTACAAGTAAAATTTGAAAAACTTGAAATTGCAAGTACAAGTACCAATGTTTGGATTAGTACTTAAGTCAAATACTTAAGTATATTTTTGTACTCAAGTATTTACTTCAAGTATTTAAAATACTCAGTACAACAGCTAGCTCTGTTAGGAAGAGACCTTCCTCATTTTCCTTAAGGTACAAAGTCCTTTTCTGGAACATTATTCCTTATGACAAAAACAAACAGGATGGAGATAAACCTATCCAACGAGCTATTAATCCAAGGTGTTTCATTTGAAAAAACCTATGTATGGTTCATTATCCAAAAACTGTCACTTCTAGAGAAAAACTGACTCTGCTACTAGAATCTACGTAGAAAGATCTATAGGAACCCCCGTTGTCTCCTTTTCGATCACTTATGAGAGAACCGAGATACAAGAGGTGTCCCAAAATGCAACTTTTTCAAAAACACCTTCATCGATTAAAGGCGATTAACCAGTCGGTCATAGTTGACAGATAACCAATGAAGCAAACGTCATTTGTCAACCAATCGGTAATAAATGACGTTAAATGCATTGTTCATCTGTCAATATAACCGAATGGTTAATCGCCTTTAATCGACTCTTGTATCTGAAAAACGAAAAGGGCAATGACAATTTTCTTGACGGTATCTTTTTAACAGAAAAGTAGCCAACTTCAGCGCACTGATTGACAAATGGAAATCGCCATAGGTCTGTTTCTGCAAAAATCACAAACCAGTCGGAGTGAATTTCATTGGTTGAAACTAGTTTTCTGACTGTTTTCAACCAATGAAATTCGCTCTGACTGGTTTGTGATTTCTGCAGAAACAGACCTCATATAAAAGCGCGAATGA